GGGACAGAAGAGAGAAGAGAGAGAGGGAGGGAGAGAGATGCCTTCCATATGTGCCCCAACTAGGGATGGGACCAGCAGCCTTTCCGTGCACAGCACGATGCTCAACCAACTGAGCCACTCTGCCCGGCAGCTGTGAGCTTTCTTATTCTTACTTTGAAGAGGGAGTAGCCTTTTTTTTTTTTGAAGAGTGGATTTAAATTCAGTAATATATAACCCTTATGCTAGGAGATGTTACTGTTATGTTATAGGGGACATATAATAGAATTTCAAGCTACATACATTCCAAGTGCATTTGGAAAAATGAAGAAATAGAGGAAGAGTAAAGTATGAGTTGAATAAATGCAAGCATTTCAGGTTTTTTGAAAATGCCATAATCTTTGTAAAGGAGCTAGGCAATAACAGTGTCTGTAGGAGATCTTTATGCCGTACAAAGGGTTTTCACATGTTTTGTTTCAGCCTTGGTTTTGTGAGATAGGTGGATGAAGGTATGAGTTCTAGGCTTGCAGATCCGTATCTGAGGCTCATGCAGGGTCGAGGGATCCCCCCGCCCCACCCCAGTCGTTCAGTCTGTAGGCGGGAGAGTGGAATCTGGAGCTCAGGACTTGTGATTCCTGATCAGGACACTTTCTGCAATATGAGGCTAAAATATAGCTGTGACTAAGGCAGTCCCAGGACTTTTATAACAGGCTCTAGTAATGGCACTGCCACCAAAAAGCTATGTGATATTGAGCAAAGCACTTCATTTCTTCGGGTGTCAGTTTCCTCATAGAAAAACAAGGGTGGAGGTTTGGGGAGGACTCAATAATCCCAAAGGCCTGTGCTGTCCTAAACTGTGGCTCTAAGATCCAGTGGGACACTGGGCCGCAGGACTCGGAGAGCTTTGCACACCTCAGTGTCTGTAACTCTTTAATGATAGACAGCCGTTTTGTGGACGTGGGTGACACAGCAAACTCAAAAACACCTAAAACAGCTTGCTTAGGGTCACTTCTGCCTCTCAGCCTTTATCAGCAATATTGAGTCTAGGGTTTCACGGCAGTGGTGATCCAAAGAATTTGGGCTGAAGACTTAGAAAAAACAAACAAAAACAAAGCGACTTTTGAGAAGAAAAGGTATAAATTTGCCAGATAGATAAAGATTTAGTTTTTAAACTAGGAGAGTTCAAGAGTAAGCTTCTATTTAACAAATTACTCTAAACATACATAAAAATCTCAAGAATATATTTATCATATAACTGATTTAAAGATAACACTAAAAATTACATTATTGCCACTCTCAAAAAGTGATTATAAACTAGCTAATAGTTAAAAAGCTGAGTTCAAAAGTTCACAGATGTTTATGGCACTTTGGTGACTCAGTAATTTTTTTCACAGCTCTCTAGCACAAAAGAAGTACCTGAATTTGTTAATAAACTATTAGGTTCAAACACCCTAATTAGTAATAATTCTCATCATGTCCAACAGATGCTAATGTGTTTCCCTTGCAAACTTGAAAGAGTCCGCAGCCTGGCCAGAGTGGCTCGGTTGGTTGGGCATCGTTCTGTGCACCCAAAATGTTGCCTGTTGGGTTCCCCATCAGGGCACATACCTGGGTTGCGGGTTTGATCCCCAGTTGGGATGGAAGGCGGTCGATAGGTGTTTTTCTCACATTGATGTTTTTCTCTCTCTCTCTCCCTTTTCTCTAAGCATGTCAAAAGAAATAAACAGGGAAAAAAGACTTTTCTTAACCCATTAAGTCCCAATCAGATTCCAATTTCTTCCTCAGTGGTAAATCTTAAATAAATAAGTAAATAAATAATCCTGCAGTGCCCCTGTGAGTAGGGTTGCCTGATTAAATTTGAATTTTAGATCAATAATAATTGTTTACTGCTTTTTTCAAGTATTGCATAGGACATACACTAAAAATTATTCATTTTCTATCTGAGTTCAAATTTAACCAGATACCCTGTTTTTAATTTTATTTATTTATTAAATTTAATGGATTGACTTTGATTTATAAGATTATATAGGTTTCAAGTGTGCATTTCTATGATACTGGCCTGTATATTGCGTCCTCTGTCACCATATATTTGATCCCCTTTACCCTTTACTACCCCCAGCCTCCTCCCTCTGGTAATCATCGCACTATTGTCTGTGTCTGTGGATTTTTGTTTGTCTTTCATGCTTGTCGATTGGTTGCCGTCAGGTTTATATCCCACATACGACTGAAATCATATGGTTCTTAACTTTTCCTGTCTGACATATTTCGCTTAACATGATATTCTAAGGCCCATCCGTGTTGTCACAAATGATGGCCTGTATTTTTATTTGCTAGATTGGACAACCGCGCCAGCGAATTCACGGGGGCTCTCCAGGGTGCCTTGGCACATAGTTTTGAAAACAAGGCCCTATACCCCTAGGCCAGTTTTTTAAAGCAAAATTGTATTTATTTAAAATCAATAAATCATATTCATCAGTTTTTCAAAACATGTTGTAAATATAATTAGATTTCCAAAATATTTTGTGACATTTAGACTGTGACATTTAGCATAGGGCTTGTGTTGACTATGAAGGTCTGGCTTGTGCACATCGAGCCCTGAGCTGCTGCAGTATGTGTTTGTAACTCACCTGAGGCCACTTGAACAAAACCTGAGTGCCACACCAAAGCTTCTGGTACCTTCCTTGGGACTTACTCAACAGCTACAGCAAATGAAGTTGCATTGATTGTTTTTCCAATTTGCCAATCTAGTCTTGTTGTCTCTTATGCATAATTAGAGTCACTCATTGGGACAGGAATTCCTTCAGTTTAATAACAGAAATAGTCATTCACTATGCAGAACAAATCTGGAGACCTTCATCGCTGTGGCACCAACCTAACTATTAAATTACATTTTTCTTTTAGGGAGCTCAGTGGATATACTGTATACTTTTGCAAGTTGCTCAGGACTGGACTTGATCTTTGGTCTAAATGCCTTACTACGAACAGCTGATTTGCAGTGGAACAGTTCTAATGCTCAGTTGCTCTTGGACTACTGCGCTTCCAAGAATTATAACATTTCTTGGGAACTAGGTAATGGTAAGTATCCCTGGGCACATTTCATTAATAGATTCCCCTCTGGCATTATTTGTTTCTATATATGACATTATTTTTAATGTTAGCAGATATACTTCTGGCTCGACATATTTGTGCAGTGCTCAGCAGTGCAACTTTTGGATTGCTTAAGGCAGAAAAAAACCCTTGTATATCCCAGAACCTACTGCTAATTCCAGTTTATGTTACATTTGAGCTGAGGACAACTCATTGAAACCAGCAACTTCCACAGCTCCCAGGTTCCCTTGAGATTTTCAGGGTCACTTAAGTCTATTATGTTTGACAGGCTAGAATCAACAAAACTGTAAAGCAGGCAGTTTGCTTTTACCCTTCCATTCCTTTCTCTGTTTCTTGACTTGTCAGTTAATCTCAGCAACCCCATTCCAACCCTCATGATATGCTCAAGCTAGAAGTCCCCAGGACAGAATCCTACACAGATCAAGCTCCTGATTCTTCCCTCACTCATTTTTACAAGGAATTTATAAATTTTAACTAAAATGTGAATGACTAGCCACATTCATTCATACATATTTATACTGTTTTTTTCTACACATCAGGCAATGGAACTGAAGATAAAATGGCAAATGAGATTTAGTAATATGGTGAGCACTGTTCTGAGCATTTAATAAGTATTGGTTTATTTTATCTTTTTAACCACCCTGAGGTGGATACAATTGTGACCTTCATTTCAAAGATGACAAAAGAGGCACAAAAAGGTTATAGCTAAATAGTTTTGTGATGCTGTGCAACTCTTAGAGGATTCTTAGAGAAGTTAGGATTTGAACCCAGGCAGTCTGGCTCCAGGACAAGGTCTCTGCTCTCTTGAGATTTCCATTCTAGAGGTAAGGAGCCAGACCAACAAGGAAACAAGCCAATCCCTAGCCAGTTTGGCTCAGTGGTTAGAGTGTTGGCCCTCACACTGAAGGGTCCCGGGTTCGATTCCGGCCAAGGGCACGTGCCTCAGTTGCAGGCTCAATCCTGCGTGCAGGAGTCTGCTGATGAATGTCTCTCGCTCTCTTTTCCCCTCCCCCTTCCATTCTCTCTGTAAAGTAATGGAAAAAATATATCCTTAGGTAAGGAATATATATATATATCCCCCTGGGGGAAGATTAACAAAAACAAAAGAAAACAAGCCAAGAAATGATACATGCCTATAGTGGTGTGTGTTATGGTAAAGTCTAAAAGCAGATTTTCTCTGATGGGATTGCTGAGGATAACTGGCAACTTGGAGCACAAAAAGAAAAACAGAATAGAAGGGTGGAGGCAACTGTATCTTAGCTAGTTGATGAACAGCTTTACCACAGCAACCATTTGAATAATAGGTCACCTGAACCCATCCTTACCTGTCTCCATACATCCCTCCTTCCCTACTTTTCTACCCTACACATCCCCAACTCCTCTGTTCTTCAGAGAGAGAGAAAAGAGTGGGGTCATTATGTTTCCCTCTTCTTTGGGCCCAAGTTTGTAAAGAAAAGGTCTGGCGTCCAGGGTGAAGGTATGTTTGAGAAATAGTTTGGACACTGTCTGTGCCTCCCTCCCATCTAGGCTCATTGCATATATAATTTGTGAGTAAACAGTCTTAATTCTTTTAATTGCATTGTAGAAACTGGTTTTGAAATGTCTTCCCCCAAAGCAATCTATTTTTAAAGCAAATTGAGTTATTAAATACTGGATATGGACTATCTTTCAACTATCGATTGGTTTACTATCCCCATTATTAATTTAAAACTATTTTAATACCTCTTCATATTTCAGTTATAAAATACAAAATTTTGTTTTTCTGCAACATCTTTATAACTGCAGGTTTTACTTTCCTTGACTTTAGAGTCCAAGTTTTTGTAATTTGAAAAATGCTTTGTTGCTTTTATGTGTTGCTGTTATGTTTGCTTTTAAATAAGGAATTTCTACCTAAGTAAGTATTTTGAAAATTGCTCTTTCAGAACCCAACAGTTTCCAGAAGAAGGCTGGTATTTCCATCGATGGATTGCAGTTAGGAGAAGATTTTATTAAGTTGCATAAACTTCTAGGAAAATCTGCTTTCAAAAATGCAAAACTCTATGGTCCTGATGTTGGTCATCCTCGAGAAAAGACTGTTAAGCTGCTGAGAAAGTAAGAGCTCAAGGAAGCAGAATCACTTTCTTAAAAATAATATTTCTCTCTGGTGTAGAATCTTCAATAGTACACCTGTTACTAAACAGTTTTCTGCCTGGCTAGATGGTTGACCAATAGAGAAAACATTGACTGGCTCAGAACACCAAGGATTTGGGGCAAATGGTATCAGTGATAAAATTTGTATCTGAGTTAGGAAGTTTGTGTTTGCCTGATCCTAAAGTAGTAACCAGCCTATTTGTTGTGCATATATTGTGTGTGTGTGTAGTGTATACAAGAATTTAGTGATAACATAATGGATATAATAGATTTTTTTTTCTAGTTTCCTGAAGACTGGGGGAGAAGTGATTGATTCAGTTACATGGCATCAGTAAGTATGTCTCCTGCTCTTTTTTTCTGTTGTTCTTTTTTATTGAATTTATTGGAGTGATATTGGTTGATAAACATATATAGGTTTCAGGTATCCATTCTATAACACATCATCTGTATATCATATTGTGTTCCCCACCCCAAGTCAAGTCTCCTTCCATCACCATTTATCCCCCCTTTACCCTCTTCTACCTCCCCCACCCCCTTTCCCTGTGGGAATCATGCTGTCATCTGTGACTATGAGGGGTTTTTCTTGCTTAAGCTCTTCACCTTTTTTACCCAGCCCCCCAACCCTGCTCCCGTCTGATAGCTGTCAGTCTGTTCTCTGTATCTATGAGTCTGTTTCTATTTTGTTTGTTAGTTTATTTTGTTCATCAGATTCCACATCTGAGTGAAATCATGTAATACTTGTGTTTCTCTGACTGGCTTATTTCACTTAGCATAATGTTCTCCAGGTCCATCCATGCTGTTGCAAAGGGTAAGATTTCCTACCCCCCCTTTTTATGGCCCAGTAGTGTTCCATTGTATAAATGTACCACAGCTTTTTTATTCACTCATCTACTAACACTATGTCTACTGTTCTTAACACTAAGAAAGTACCGCTAGGTTTACTTACTATTTAGTTTTCAAAAAATAATTTCCATTTAACTGCTAATTCACTTTATAATTCAAGTAAGAATCATATGGTCTCAAATAGCACTATAGTAGAATTTTAATATTAACAACACAAAAGTTTAAACTTATTTTAAATGATGTGGTGGTTTCTATAAGACCAAGGGACACTATCCTTTAACTCATGGAACAGATAAGTAGCTAAAGCCAATATGCTTTCCAAAGAACGAGCAACCCACAAGTACCGGGTTTGCACTGGGGACTGTGTCTTCTCAAGACAGAATAACCAATCCCCTTCTATCATGTCTCTCCTCAGTAGAATTTCCTCCTTTTTTTATAACAGGGAGGTGGGAAGAGGTACTAAGAAGAGCAAGTTCAGCCAATTAACTTAAAAGCGGAGAGTAAAGGTTATTTTTTTCTGAATATTTTCTAAATATTTTAGCTACTACTTGAATGGACGAACTGCTACCAAAGAAGATTTTCTAAACCCTGATGTGTTGGACAGTTTTATTTTACCTGTGCAAACAATTTTTCAGGTAATAGTCTTTTATTCTTTTTAATGTAAAGCCAGAGTCCTTATTCTGTGGTTTAGCTAGTGCTAAGTTCTATAGGTATGTAAATTTACGTGTTTTCTAATTTTAGAGAGTAGGCACTAGTCTTCTTCACCTTCAGTCTCCCTTAGCATCAGGCCTCATCCATGTACATTGATTAGAAATTAAAAATACTTCTAATAGCCTTTTGGTAGAATTAACTTTCATAGGCTATAAGAACGAGATTATTTACATTTCTTCTTCACCTGGTATTCCAATAAAAGTAAATTGGCCAAGACCTAAATGACTGTGAACATATTTTGTAACGATATTGGACAGATGGGTCTGGGAATACAGGATTTTAAATGTCATTAATCTTCAATGCCATAACTGGTCAGCTTGTTTGCAGTTACCATGGATACTTTCCTGTTCCATAGGTTGTTGAGACGACCACGCCCCACAAGAAGGTTTGGTTAGGAGAAACAAGCTCTGCATACGGAGGTGGAGCACCCTTGCTGTCTAACACCTTTGCGGCTGGTTTTATGTGAGTGAAGTAGCACTCGCCTCAGGGACCAGATTGCAGCATGTTCCTATTCCGTTCTGTTGAAATAGCTCATCAGATAAAAACCCGGTCAAAGATGGTTTCTGTGGCTGACCTCCAAAATTTGTGCCAGATTTTGCAAGAGAATGATTTACTAAAGCTTGTTGGACATATTTAAAGTACATTAAAAATTAATCATTGTATGAATGAATTGCTTTAGAAGTTTTGTTGCTTAATTATGGCCCGTGACTATGCCAGGGATTCCCCCTCTAAAGAACTACATTGTAAAAAATATATATTGTAAAGTAGTGTGTCAGAGCCCTGACTGTGAAGGATGTGTCGGGCATGCTGCACAGCCATTACAGATTCCCAACAAGTTCAGAGCCTCAAGTATGCGGTCACACCAGAGGGCCTACCGGTGAATGTAAAGATTGACTAAATCACCTCACATGCCAACCACCACAAACTTGACTGCTCTAAACAACTGGTTAACTTGCCTTTCACAACTCCAGTAACACGCTTACTCTACAGTTCCATCCCCTCACATGGAGACTTCCTCTTTCCTCTTACCTACATTCTTGTCAGCCTAGAATTAAGTACAGATCGCTTATGCTCACGGGAGCGTGGTGAGTCGAGAAAAGAATGGAGATGTTTGTTTTGCCATTAACCAAAGATGAGGGGCAAGAGGTATCTATAAAAGTTCCGGTGTGATTCTACTTATTTCACACTTTGCTACTACTGACTACATGCAACCTTGTAGTATTTAGACCTTACACAGGGGTGGGGGGAGGCACCCTGAAGGACAAGGGATAATAGTCTGTAGGGTGGGAATTTGTCTGTGGGGTTGGGAATTTGTCTACCCCGCTTTGTAAATGAAGTCTTACCCTGAAGGGGACTTCTGTGGCGTATTAATGGTCCTCTAGGATTTGTAATCATGCAGAAGTATAAGAACTTGTGAAGGGAAGCATAATCTCCCTTTCATTTGAACAACTTATTTACAATTCACACCACTTTTCTGGTTTCCTGTCAATTCCACATAAATGAATACATTAGAATAATCTATAATTAGAATTACATTATTTTGTTTTCCAAACCTCACTCTGTTCCAAACCTCATTCTGTTCCAGGTGGCTGGATAAATTGGGCCTGTCAGCCAGGATGGGCATAGAAGTGGTGATGAGGCAAGCATTTTTTGGAGCCGGGAACTACGAGTTAGTGGATGAAAACTTCGAACCTTTGCCTGTAAGTCACCATTATTCTATTTCTATGAGTAGTTTAGACTATACTGAGGACCCCTGTATTAACCTCCTATGAACTGTCAGTCCTCCCAGTAAATTCAGTGCTCTCAATAAGTAGCCTAACCATGGAAAGGTGAACTGGAAGAAACTTTAGAGATAATCCATTCTAACTTTCTTGGGTCTCAGGAGAAGAAATTGAGACCCAGGAATAATGTTTTTAATGTAAACCATTTTGGATATGGTATGGGATTTCTTAAAAAGGGGTCATTTGAAATTTAATGGTTCCAGTGTTACAAGATATAAAGCTTGGCTCAAAAAATGTTTTTACAAAGTAAATCAAAGTTAAAATTATCTACAGTATCCAAAGCTTTAAAACTTTTTATGTCATAAAATTTTAACTTATTTAACTTTAAGATAAGCTGGTAGTATCATGTATTTGTTCAAAAATCTCACCCTAAGAATTGGCTATTTTGGTAATAATCTTCAAGGTATTTATGAATTTTTAAAAAGTGTAATTTCCACCCTACCTCCATCTGCATCAGGTTCTAAATTAAGTAATGTAGCCTTTCTATCTAAAAGGCCACCTGGGATCTATATGTGTCTAAAAATTGAGTAGTATAGATATCTCCCTGAGAAGTATGACTATGATTTTTATTGTCTAAAATGACATTTGAGGATCTTTGTTTTCTAAGAATAATTCCTAAAGGAATTATTTGAATATTGTAGGAAAGCTAAGAAAGTTGCAAAAAGTACATGCCAAAATATAAGTTATACTTCTGTGGTTTTTAGCTAAATTTCTCAATAAAATTGCTTTTAATCTATAGTGAGTGATCCAAGCTCATGGAGCACACTGTTCATAACTTTTAGAATATTCTTAGGAAAATGACCTTGCGCAAAACAGAATCTCTCTTCCCCAAGTATATTATGAGCCATCTATAGAGTGAAACCAGACATCATAATTTCATTAGATAAATATCCAAAATCTACGGCTGGCCTTTTCTTAAATGGACCTTGAGCAAGAAAGGTAAATAGTTAAATAGAAATTAGCCAGCTTATCCTGTCACTCATTGTAAATAGTGCCAGTTATTTAGTATGTTATCTAAATCTTCTCAGTGCCCAAGCATAAATTTTTGGCTTCAGAACCCTTTTGTATGCACTAACTATACTTCTTCCTCAAGGTACAGAAACAGCTAGCAAAACTTGCAAGAATGAATGTGCCGTGTTACCACAAGAATGAATGTGCCGTGTTACCATGAGNGTACAGAAACAGCTAGCAAAACTTGCAAGAATGAATGTGCCGTGTTACCATGAGTAGGGTACAAGGGAATTGGCCTTAAACCTACTGTGCATGTCTGTTTTCTTATTTTATTTGTATAGCAATCCCGGACATGGCTCGGACAGTGCCTTAGATCCATTTTTCAGATGAGGAAGTTCTAACTGAGATGAAGTCACTCAAGGTCACACAGTTGTCCTGTGTTATTCTAAAGAGTCCCATAGGAATCCTGCCCCAGGCCTGCATGCTTTCTACCCTCCCAGGAACTGAGCCATGCTAAAGTTTTATCTCCTGTGAAACATTTCATTGATTCTACTCTTGTCTCAAGAGAAGATTTGAATTTGAATTTAAGCAGAGAAACAAAAGCTGCCCTGATGAGTCTAGTTTCCCTCAGCTCAAGAAGGAAGGGTTGAGGTATATATTTCTGTGGGTTTTTAAAAACCAATAATTATGGAAAACTTCAAAGTAGAGAGAAAAGCATGTGAATCCCCAATCTTGTTTAATCTATAATTCTACCCACTCCTCACCTCCCACCTACTGTATTACTTTCAAGCAAATCTCAGATATATCACTTTATCCATAAATATTTCAGTATGTATCTCCTTGTAAAAACATAACAATATCATTATCATGCTTTAAAATATTAACAGTAATTCCTCAGGATCATCAAATATTAAGTCAGCCCTGGCCAGTGTGCTTAGTGGTTAGAGCATCGACCCATACACCGAAGGGCTGTGGGTTTGATTCCCAGTCAAGCGCATGTACCTGGGTTGCAGGTTCGCGCCCTCCCCCAGTCGGGGCACGTGCAGGAGGCAACCGGTTGATGTGTCTCTCAGATCGATGTTTCTCTCTCTGTCTCTCCCCCTCCCTACCTCCCTTCTAGTCCCTCTGTAAAGCAATGGAAAAAATGTCCTTAGGTGAAGATTAACAAACAAAAATATTAACTCATTGTTTCACATCATTCTTATCGTCGCAAATCTTTTAATAGTTTATTCAAACCACAAGGTTCACATATAGCATTTGGTGCTCATCTCTTAAGTCTATCAGTTTTTAAGTTCGCCTTCCATCCCTTTTTTTTTGGTCCCCTAGAATTTATTAATTCAAGAAAGCAGGCCCTGACCTGACCAGTTTGGCTCCGTGGTTAGAGCATGGCCTGAGAACCAAAGGGCCGTGGGTTCAATTCCCAGTCATGGCCCGAGAACCAAAGGGCTGTGGGTTCAATTCCCAGTCATGGCCCGAGAACCAAATGGCCATGGGTTCGATTCCCAGTCAAGGGCACGTGCCTGGGTTGTAGGTTTGATCCCTGGCCCTGGTCAGGGCGCCTGTTGGAGGAAACCAATCAATGTGTCTCTCTCGCATCGGTCTCTCTCTCTCTCTTTTTCTCTTTCTCCTTCCACTCTCTCTAAAAATCAATGGAAAAAGTATCCTCAGGTGAGGGTTAACAAAAAAAAAAAGCAAGCAGGTATTTTATTCTGTAGTGTTTCCCACATTCTGGATTTTGCTAAAGTTATTCATTTAGCATGTTCCTCTGTCCCCTATATTTCCTCTAAACTGGTAGTTAGAGCTAGAGGCTTGAGCTTACTCAAGTTTTTTTGTTTTGCAAGAATTCTTCATAGGTGGTGATATTTGCTTTTATCATCAGACACATAATGTCTGGTTGTTTTCCCTTTTTTGATCTTGATAGCTAGTGATGATCGTTGCCTAATCCATTATTTTATTGGGAGGTTATAAGATTTTAAAGAAAATATTTTAATCTGTTAAACAGAAATTTTATTTTAAAAACTTGTGTGTGTGTGTGTGTGTGTGTGTGCGTGTGTGTGTGCGTGTGCGTGCGCGCGCCTAAAAGTTCTGCTTTGAGCTTTGCTTTCCATTCTTGGATGATAGACAGCAGAGAATATTTAAGCTGTCTCTGAGTCATGCATCGCAGTCTTGAGCTACATCTCCTGGCAGGTATGGCCCCCTGAATTGTGGAAGCATCATCCTCTAATGATAAAAAGCAGCAAACAAGATATTGCTCCTAGATTTGGGTAACACGAACCAAAACATGAACCCTATTTAATTACCTCTAGAATAACAGTCCCAGTCTTTGAAGGAAAACTACTTGCTTGACACAGTTTTCGTTAAAGAACTAAGTAAAGACCTATTTTCGTCCCTCCTCTCCCCAACCACCACAACTAGGATTATTGGCTCTCTCTTCTGTTCAAGAAACTGGTGGGCACCAGCGTGTTAAAGGCAAGTGTGGAGGGTCCAGCCAGAGGCCAGCTTCGCGTGTACCTTCATTGCACCAACGGCCGCCAGTAAGTACGCAGCGCGCTCTGCGCGGACCAGCGGGCTTCAGTTCGTCAGCACGTGACTTCCTGCCCTCTGTCTGTCCTGAGCAACCTAAGCTGCGTCATTGTTGTTTCCCTATTCATGGTGATATGGTGCCAGAGTCTAACTAAAACACAACAACAAAAATAGCTTAAATATTAGCATTTGACTTTTTCAGTGACTTTGTCAAAATCCATAATAGAGATAGACCCTAAATTTGAATAAAGTACAAATGTATTTGTATATGAACAGTTGCTTTATTGAATGATGATGAGTGAATATAAACATAAATTCATATGAGTGAATAATTCTATGAATATAATTATCCCCTTGCATCATATCTGATCAATCTAATAAGGAAGAAGAATTAAAGAACAATAGCAATCTTGTTTTCAAAAGTTTCAACCCAATTTCTGGGCTGAGAGACCACAGAGATTTTTATAGTTTAGTACTCTGGCCTTAGTAGCAAAACCTGTCCCCAAATCTCAGAGATTTTTCTCTTCATAGTTTCAGTCTGTCCTTCCTGATAGGATGATAACTGAGATACTAATTCTAGCTAAAATAGCCACCCAGCATTTCCAATTTCTGGTGAGTGGGAACTCTGGATAGTGAGAGCCCCACTAGGAAGAAGTTGGAGAGTAGTTTGGATAGATTCTGAGAAGTGTCAACAGATTTAACTTTCTTGTTTGCTCCACTCTTTTCATAAGGCTAGAAAAAGCCCGTTTAAATGGTTTATAATTTGAATATACATGAAGCCCAAAAATTCAACTTTTACCATTTAACCTTCCTATGTTTGAAAATGAATAAGCAGACTGGCTGCCTAGTAACTCAGCCTGGGAAAGCAGCGAAGATCTCAGCGCGCTCTAGGCCAGAAAATGGTGCTGTGACGAGCACTGTTTATAATCGGTTTTCAAATAGGGCCACATTCGTGGTCTTACATTATCATAAAAGGGGGGTAAAAAGAGGGCCCATCATCATTATAAATACTAATACTTAGTATCCATAATGATACTTGTAATCAAGCTTTTAATTGTTTAAATGAGACAAATATTTTTATTGAGTCAATCTATTTGCTTTTAGCCCAAGGTATAAAGAAGGAGATTTAACTCTGTATGCCTTAAACCTTCATAACGTCACCAAGCAGTTGCAGTTACCACATTATTTATTTGACAAAGAAGTGGACAGATACCTTGTAAAACCTTCAGGACCTGCTGGATTATTTTCCCAGTGAGTAGTTTTTCTTTTTCATTTAAGACTTTGACCAAATGTATCAGTGTTTATCAGAATAGTGTGTTGATGGGGAGAAAAAAAGTCAACTATTTCAAGTTTTGATGATTCAAAACAACTTAATGTATCAAGATCCGCTCAGTGCATTTAGATTATTTGCTCTAAAAAGACTTAAAATTCTTGGTAACACAGTCACAAAAAGAAAACATACCTATATATAGTTGCTATTAAGGGCATGGAGGTTGCTGTGAACTATTATACTATGTGAGCTGAGCATGATTCTCTAACAGCATTAAAGTAATTTTTTTAGAGTAAGAAAAAAAGCCAGAAATGTACCTTTTAGGTGGATTATTTGAAGTTGGTTTAAATACGTTTTGGTTTGAAAAGCCTGTCGTTGAATATGTCTTACAAAAGACCATATTTGCCCTGGTTGGGTGGCACAGTTGGTTGGAGCATCATCCAGTGCACTGAAAACGTTGCGGGTTCGATTCCCAGTCAGGGCACATACCTAGGTTGAGGGTTCCATCCCCCATCAGGACATGTACGGGAGGCAGCTAATCGATGTCTCCTTCTCACATCAGTGTTTCTCTCTCCCCCCCCCTTCCTCTCTAAAAATCAATAAAAACATATCCTCAGGTGAGGATTAAAAAGACCATATTTAACCAAATATGCAAGAATGACTATGAATTTTGAAGAGTTAAGCACACAAACATTGTTAGAGTTCTGTACAGTGTGTGTTGGAAGGAGCTCTATTCATCATGGTTATGCTCATTTTGGAGCATAAAAAATTAAGAGTTTACACAATTCTCACCATCTCCTTCCATCTTTGCAAATGCTATATGAGTGGTGTTTTCAGTGACAATTAGCATCCTAACCTAAACGACAGTAAGCATGCTTTCTCCAAAGTCCTGTCGCCCGGCTGGGCGTGGCTCAGGGGTTGAGTGTCGACCTAGGATCCAGGCGATCAGGGTTCGATTCCCGGTCAGGGCACATGCCTGGGTTTCGGGCTCGATCCCCAGTAGGGGGCGTGCAGGAGGCAGCTGGTCAATGACTCATCATTGATGTTTCTCTCTCTTTCTCTCTGTCTTCTTTCCTCTCTCTGAAATCAATAAAGATATATTTTAAAAAAGAAAAATCAGGAGAAGCAAAACAAAACAAAGTCCTATCCTCCACAGATAAGCATTAACACTGGGTATCATTCCTTTATTTTTTCCCCCTATGCTTTCTTTTTTACAACTGTAATCATACAGCCTCTACTGAGAAAAAGAGAGGAGGAACCCACAAGTTCTCTGTGTCTTTCCATGCATAGCCTTTGTAGACATTTAAAAAAAATTTTATTGAATTTATTGGACTGACAGTGGTTAATGAAAGTATATTGGTTTCAGGTGTACAATTCTATAATCCATCATCTGTATGTGTATTGTATTGTTTGTTCACCACCCTGTAGACATTTTTAATGGGTTGCATGTTTTATAAAATACCATGGCTTACTTACCCATTTTCCTACTCTTTAAACCTCTTTTTCCTGTTGTAAATAATGCATATTTGGGTAACAGATACTTTTCTCTCTTTGGGTTCTGATGCTTTTTGAAGTGGCTCTTTTTAGCATATTTGTGTCTGATGCTATGATAAGGGAAACGCTTTTGTAAAGTAATTGAATAATAGTTGTGGAGTTGGAAGTGTCTTAAGAGACCATTTTAGTCCACCTTAGACCTGTACCTAAGGCCATTCATCTCTGTCTGATTCCTACTCCGATGAAGCTCGCAGCCTCTCCTGGCGACTGTCCTTTCTGGCGGGGCAAAGTGAGCCTCTTTGTGCCTTTTTTCTGCTCCTCTTACTTCTGTTTTCTAGAGCAGAGGTTGGAAATGACACCTCATGCCTGTGGGCAAGGGGGTTTAGAGGATTTTTTTTCTCTTTTCCTGGTAGGGGAGGTTCGCATGCACTCTGTTAACTCTTCATTTTTAATTAATTGTCAACATTTAACCATTGAAAACTACTGAAAAATATTTAAAAACGGATACTCTGGCCACTTGGGGCTTGTTCTCCCTATTAGATGTGGCCCATTATCTACTACATTTGCATATATAACTTCCTTGGCCCTTGTGGGCATTTGAGTTTGCTCCCCTTAGTCTGGAGCAGTGCCAAATATTTCATTTTCTCTAGAATGACTCTCAGATATTCAAAGGACAGTTGATTTGTCTTCCAGCTCTATTTCATCTGAAACTTCACAAACATATCTTGTATTTCTTTGTCATCATGTTACTGACTTTAAAATATGAAACAAGATACTGCTCTCAAATAAAACCCTACCCACATTGTCCAGCCTGATGTGGAAATAATCAGCATGCTTTAAGCTTACACTCGTACACTGATAGTATCCTTTAGCTGTATTTATAGCTGATTAAACAGTTTAGCCCAATGGAATTAGAATCTTGCCCGTTTCATCCACCTAACCCATAGCAGTATTAATTTACAATGATGAGAGTTATCTTTAAACTCTGTTTCCTATTCCGAAGTATTTCTGAAACATTTTGGTGTACCCTTGTAAATGGTCCTCAAGGTCGTGCAGAACAGATCTTACTACTGTCACGTAGAGATGTTTTCAAGACCTGTTTTTGTTTGTGGTTTCCTGATAGTGGTCATAGCATTTCTTCCCAGAGCCCACTGAAAAACTGATGTCACAGAGGCGTGAAAACAAACCCCAGTGCATGTGTACCAAGCACAACCACAGCGCAGGCTCCTCAGCCTCCACCACAATAGTGAGCTCCTTACTGACATGTCTCAAGGCACCGAGCCCCGCCTTGGGTCTCTAACCAAGGTTAAATGGAACATGGTTTTCCTGCTGATTCACAGTGCAGATAGAGGGTGAGAGATCTTTTAAAAGGAAATCTTCATAATAATACTAAATTGAAAACCACCAAATGTCTAACGTTAGATGATTAAGTAAATAAACTAGCGTTCTCACACAGTGGAATCCTGTGCAGCCTTTAAAATGATGTAGCAGGTGAATGTTTAATGGTGTCAACAGATGTTAAGATGTGTTCAGGGGAAAAGAAACAAGTGTTGTTTTTATTTTTAAAAATTATTTCTTCATTCAATTTTTGTCAATGACAGTTTACATTCAGTATTATTTTGTAGCAGTTTCAGGTGTACAACATAGTGGTTAGATAACCATATACTTTACAAAGAGTTCCCCTAATAATTCCAGTACCCCCATGGCACCCCACATCGTTATTACAATATTAGTGACTATGTTCCCTGTGCTGCACTTCACATCCCTGTGACTGTTTTGTAACTACCAATTTGTACTTCTAAATTCCTTCACCTTTTCCGCCCGGTCCCTCGATAACCCTCCTCTCTGGCAACCAGCCATCTGTTCTCTGTATCTACAAGTCTGTTTCTATTTTGTTTGTCCATTTATTTTGTTCTTTAGGTTCCACATATAAGTGAAATCATATGGTATTTGTCTTTCTCTGTCTGACTTACTTCACTGAGCATATCACCCTCTAGGTTCATCCATGCTGTTGCAAATGGTAAGATTTCATTTTTTATGGCCAAGTAATAGTCCATTGTATATCTGTACCACTATTTTTTTATCCACTTGTCTATCAATGGGCACTTGTGTTGCTTCCGTATCTTGGCTATTGTAAATAACACTGCAGTGTACATAGGGGTGCATAGATTCTTTCGAATTAGTGTTTTGGGCTTCTTTGGGTATATACCCAGAAGTGGAATCACTGGGTCATAAGACAGTTCCATTTTTAATTTTTTGAGGACCTTTCATACTGTTTTCCACAGTGGCTGCACTAATCTGCATCCCCACCAACAGTACACAAGGGTTCCCTTTTCCCCACATCCTTGCCAACACATGTTTGCTGACTTATTGATGGGAGCAATTCTGATAGGAGTGAGGTGGTATCTCTTTGTGGTTTTAATTTGCATTCCTCTGATGATTATGACATTGAGCATCTTTCCATATGTCTACTGGCCATCTGTATGTCCTCTTTGGAAGAGTAAAGTTTTAAGAGACTGTGTACAATATACTCATTTTGTTTAAATGAAAATATGTATTATACATGCACAAAAAAGAGATGAAGGAATATACATCAAGATACTAACAATAGTTAGGATGATTTAACAGGTTACTTTTGTTATATTTATTTCTGAATAATGATGATGATAATACTTTTACAGCGCTTACTACATGCAATGCACTCTTTTAAGTGTTCTGCATATATTACATGTATTACATATATGACATACATATAACTCTGCCATTAACTAATCTTTTATATTTTCAACAATAATAAAGTGCTTTTTTCATGATATAAAAAGCATTTGAGAAAAAGATAATAGAGATATAAGCATCGTTTAGTAATTATTAGTAGAACTAAAAACAGACTACAGCTTCCTTCATAACTTCTTGTTTATATTGGATTTGTTACCGTGAACATGTATTCATTTGATTTAAATAATAATAAATATGCATAAGAAATAACATTTGTGCTTAACTATTTTTTCCAGTTTTTGACTCAGTTTTGAATTTGAATTCCACAGTGAAATGCAAAGAAACCATAATTTTTTTGGACTCTGGTTTAGCCAAACAAAATCATTTTGTTTTACCCCAGCAAGTATACATTCTACCAAAATGTCTTCACAGCTTAAAACAATGAATGCATACCTCCTGAGGAGAAGGGAGTTAGAGGGTTATAGGCATAGTTACCAGTGGGAAATTTTATTGACTGTCATTTTTTTATGTTAAATTTATGTCATTTACATTCCATTCAATATATCTCTTTGCTCTATATAAAAATGTTTTCCATCAAATAAAATTTCCACAAACCCAGAAGTTATGTCATGTGTATCCTTTTTATACTTCCATTATATGGCCTAATATAGATGATCTGTGTTCCATTTTCTGTAAAGGGCCACACAGTAAATATTTCAGGCTCTGTAGGCCGTATGGTCACTGTCATGACTACTCAATTATACCACTGTAGCTTGAAGATCATCTTGGTCAAATACCTAACTGAAAGAGTATTAAAATACAAATTATGTAATATAGACTATCTATCACCAAAAAAATTTGTTTTGGTCTTTAGAAGATCTCACAACTTTTGTAGAGCAGGTGGAGCACATACCCCGTGGCTAACTGAGACTTATCTTTCCACTTTGCAGATCTGTCCAGCTCAACGATAAAGCTCTGAAGATGGTGGATGACCAAACCCTACCAGCTTTGACAGAAAAACCTCTCAGCCCGGGGAGTCCGTTAAGCTTGCCGGCTTTCTCATACGGGTTTTTTGTGATAAGAAATGCCAGGGCTGCTGCTTGCCTCTGAAAATGAATGGCATCCACTAGCCTTGAGATTGAATTTTTCAAGTGTATTGAGAAGAAAGCAAAACACAAGCTAAAGGAAAGTGAGCAGATACATTATAAACCAACCGGTGGGAGCTTTAGCGACACGGGATACCCTCAGGCTAGACTTAACACAGTATTTTTCCCTTTACGTAAACCACTGCTAGTACTAATACCTTGTGCCAAACACTGTTCTTGTACTTTGCATTTCATATTTTTATTTAAGGTTATTAAAAATGTATATGAATGCTTCCAGTACAGCCAGGAGGCAAGTAAGGAAAGGACATATTATTAGTTCTAAGAAAGTGCTTAGTTGTTTTTATTTTCAAAAACAGTTGTTAGAAGATTGTCAGTCTTTCCTGCGTACGCTGTCTCCATGGGCTCCCATAAGAAAGAGTTTACAGCCATAACCTTCCAACTGCCCATAAAAGAGAGCCCATCTCTATGCACCTTAACGCAGAGCGAGGTTCAGTTGCTGCTGCTTTTCTTTATTCTTTGTCAGCAATACTATGTGAGAGGGCAGATGGTGGATAGTATAAGAAATGATTAATGACAATCATTTTGACAGATTATGTAAAATTCAAACAAAATAAAAAATAACTATAAGGGAAATTGATTTACCAGGAGGAGAAAATTTAGTTCAATACATTATAACCATCTGTCAGTGTTTACCTTTGTTCCACCTTTAGTTCTTGCTTTAGTTGGGGAGCTTTTGGCTGCAAGTAACAGAAAATCCTGATTCCAATGGCTTAATAAGGACATTTATAATCCCAAGTTACAAGAAGTGCAAACAGGGAGGGCTCCACAGCTCAGTAAGGACCCAGGCTCTTTCCATCTCTGCTCTGCTGCCTTTAGTATTGGCTTCATTCTCAGGCTGGTGGCATGATGGTTGTAGCTATTCCATTGGCCCGTGGAGACCTGGCAGGATCCAGAGAAAGAAGATGAGCAGTTTTTCTGTGTCTCCTTCAAAGCCTTGCAGAACCCCTGTCACAGAGGTTCTCCCAGCAAACCTCTCCTTGTTTCTCCTCATGTCTTATTGGTCAGGAGTGGATCGCAAGGCCATTCTTCCCGGTCACTGCCAACATCACTGAGAATCCTGCAGTTGTCTGTTAGTAACCTTTTGGAATGTAGTGGGTGTTGGGAAGTACATGGCACTGACCACTACCGTTCTGTGCTTTTATCAGTGACAGGATGTATTATTTTCTCCTGTATCTTAATTATAATTAAGAATATAAATATAATCATCTTCATACTTATGCCAACTATGAATAAATATTACCTCAATTAAATTTAATTACATTTATGAGGAGCTAAAGCCGGAACTTAAATTTGGATGCTTAAATACCCTAAAATTTTTTATGTATGAGGTTTTTATATTTTCACAGTTGAAATAAAGCAATTTTTATAATCTCAGTATTGCATAATTATATTAATAAAGCTTAAGCCTACAGATCCATACATTTGGAAGCCGTATTTTTCTCCACCGAGTTGTTTACACTTCCTGTCTTCATTGATCCTTTCAGTCCCCCTAACACTGAAAGAGTTGACCTTGACGGGAAGAGATCAGGCACAATTTCCTCCCTCATCATGTAGATTCAGTCATGGTCAAATCTGTTTTTCTTTTCCCTGTCCCCTCTGCCACTTAATAAAGTCAAGGCCTAATTTTTCACTTGTATCATCATCATCATCTCCTAACTGTTCTCCCTGACTTTGGTTAAAATTCTTAAATGGTTCCCCATTTCTTATAGGCACACAAGGTCCTCCACAGCCTGGCACCTACCTATTTCTTCAGCCTCAACTCTTGTCATTCTCCCACAAATTCTGTTCTCCGCCCACACACTGGTTTAGAAATCTGAACATACAGCCTCTGACCTTTTGCTCCTATACCTTGGGTGCTGCTCCTTCTGCTCCCCACCTGGACTATTCCAACACTCCTCCCTGTGTGGCAAACTTGCACGTTTATTAAGACCCAGCTCAAACATCAGTTTTAATACCTCCCCTATTGAATTCAAGTAGCTTTAGTCATATTTCTTTGCTCCTACAACAGTTTGGACATTTATTATGACACGATGAGTCTCAATTGTATCCCTATGTATCTTTCTAACTTTAAGTTCATAAGAAAGAGGTACAACATCTTAATCCTCTTTGTATTCTCTATGCTTAGCATATTTTCTGGCACATAGTAGCCACTCAGATGTTTCCTTAATGACAGAAAAGAGCATTCAAAGTTGAAACTAGCTTAGGTATTTTGATTTTGAATATACGGAGAAGTTTAATGATGTTTCAGACCTGAAAAGATATTGTCTGCAACCTTTAAAAAGTCTTTAAAATTATCACTAGTGCCCTAGCCAGTTTGGCTCAGTGGTTAGACCATCAGCTCTCCGACTGAAGGGTCTCAGGTTCGATTTCAGTTAAGAGCATGTACCTCAATTGCTGGCTCGGTCCCTGGCCCCAGTCACATGTGGGAGGCAACCAGTCAATGTGTCTCTCTCACATCAATGTATCTCTCTCTCTCACCCTCTCTCTCTGAAAAGCAATGGAAAAAAATATCCTTGGGAGAGGGAGAGACAGAAACATCAATGATGAGAGAGAGTCACTGATCGGCTGCCTCCTGCACACCCCCTGCTGGGGATTGAGCCCGAAACCCAGGCATGTGCCCTGACTGGGAATCAAGTCTGCAACCTCCTGGTACATGGGATGACACTCAACCAACTGAGCCACACTGGCCAGGGCTGGAATGGAATATTTTGATTGATTTATCATTAAACAAATATTTATGGGATAAATCAATTTATGCACTGTCTACTAAGTAATAATACTTAGGCAGAGTTCTGCAGAAAAAGCCAATAGTATATATACATATATATATATATATATTCATTGATAACACTTCTAAAAGATCACTAAAGACATCTACAGTTGAAACTACTCATTCCACTACCATTTAGTTTTAGTTTAAAATATTCCTGCTATCATTTTGCATTGAATTGTCCAGCTTGGTGGCATATAGTTGTTTATAGTATTTTCTTACAATCCTTTGTAGTTCTGTTGGGTCAGTTGTTATTTCACCTCTTTCATTTCTGATTTTATTTGGGTCCTCTCTCTCTGTTTCTTGATGAGTCTGGCTAAAGGTTCATCAATCTTGTTTATCTTTTCAAAGAACCAGCTCTTCCTTTCATTGATCTTTTGTATTTTTTTTTTAGTCTCTATGTCACTTACTTCTCTGATCTTTATTATTTCTTTCCTTCTATTTACTCTGGGCTTTTCTTGTTGTTCTAAGTTTTTAAGTTGTAGTGTTAGAGAGTCTATTAGAAGTTTTTCTTGTTTTTTGAGGTAGGCTTGTAGTGCTATGAACTTCTGTCTCAGGACTGCTTTCATTGTGTCCCACAGATTTGGAGTTGTGTGTTCATTTTCACTTGTTTCCAGGAAGTTTTTTATTTCTTCCTTGATCTCTTTGGTAACCCATTCATTGTTTAAAAATGTTTTTTAGCCTCCATGTGTTTGAATGTTTTTGAGTGTTATTGTGGTTGATTTCTAATATCATGCCACTGTGGTCCAAGAAGATCTTGATATGATTTCAGTCTTCTTGAACTTGTAGAGACTTGTTTTGTGTCCTAACATGTGGTCTATCTTTGAGAATGTACCATGTGCACTTGAGAAGAATGTATATTCTGCAGCTTTGGGGTGGAATGTTCTGTAAATGTCAATTAAATCCATCTGATCTAGTGTGTCATTTGGGGTCACTGTTTCCTTGTTGATTTTTTGTCTGGAAGACCTATCCAGTGAAGTCAATGGGGTGTTAAAGTTCCCTAGTATGACTGTATAGCTGTCGATCTCTCCCTTAAAGTCCTCTAGAAGTTTTTTTATAATTTTAGGCTCTCCTATGTTGGGTGCGTATATGTTTATCAGGGTTATAGCCTCTTGTTGGATTGATCCCTTTAGTATTATGTAGTGACCTTTCTTGTCTCTCGTTATGGTCTTCATTTTGAAGTCTATTTTGTCTGATATGAGTATTGCTACCCCAGCCTTTTTTTCATTTCCATTTGTATGGAAAAATTTTTTCCATCCCTTCACTCTCATCCTGTGTGGGTCTCTTGTAGACAGTATGTATTTGGTCATGTTTTCTTATCCATTCAGCCACCCTATATCTTTCTATTGGGGCATTTAATACATTTAAGGTTATTATTGAAAGATACTTACCTATTGCCAGTTTATTTCTTTATGCCTATGTTTCTCCTCTTTATTTCTACTTCTTACTACAGCAGTTCCTTTAACATTTCCTGTAATGCTGGTTTTGTAATGATAACTCCTTTAGCCTTTTTTTGGTCTGGGAAGCTCTTTATTTCACCACCTATCTTGATTGATAATCTTGCTGGATAGGGTCGTCTTGGTTTCAGATCCTTGTTTTGCATTACCTTCAATACTTCATGCCATTCCCTTCTGGCCTGTAGAGTTTCTGATGAGAAGTCAGATGACAGCCTTATGGGGGCTCCTTTGTAGGTAACAGATTACTTTTCTCTTGCTTCCTTTAAGATTCTCTCTTCGTCTTGAATTCTTGGCATTTTAATTATGATGTGTCTGGGTTGGGCCTCTTTGGATTCTTCTTGCTTGGGACTCTCTGTGCCTCATGAACTTGCATCACTTTTTCCTTGACCAGGTTAGGGAAGTTTTCTGCCATTATTTCTTCAAACAGGTTCTCTAACTCCTGCTTACTTTTGACCTCCTCTGGCACTCCTATAATATGAATATTGTTATGTTTCATGGTGTCCCACAGAGCCCTTAGACTGTCCTGTTTTTTAATTGTTTTTTGCNCTGTCCTCCTATTTTTAATTGTTTTTTCTTTTTGGATCTCTGATTGAGTGAATTTTTCTACGCTGTCTTCTAATTCCTCAGCTTCCTCTAGTCTGCTGTTTATTCCTTCCAATGTATTCTTTATTTCTGCTATGTCATTCTTCATTTCTGACTGGTCATTTTTCATAGTTTCCACATATTTTTTCATGCTGTGGAGCATCCTTATAATCAGTATTCTGAACTCAGTATCTGAGAGATTGCTTATCTCCATTTAATTTAGCTCTTTTTCTGGAGACTTCTCTTGTTCATTCTTTTGGGGCTTGTTTTTTGGTCTCCCCATTTTGACTACTTTTTTGGGTTTGTTTCTAAGTATTAGATAGATCTGCTAGGACTCTCAGTCTTTTTGGAGGGTCTCTGGTATAGGCCAATGTCAGACATAGTTTGTGACTGGCCCCGAGTACCCTGTTGGGAGCTGTCAACAACCCTAGGCTTCAGGTCTCCTCTCCTGGGGCTGGGTGCATTTGGACAGGACCAAGATGCACACACCAAAGTCTGCTTTTCTAAAGCCCCAGTTCAAAGCAGATCAGGCAAAGACTCAAAGCACCCTGAGGTCTGCCTCTGCCTGCAGATTGATTAATCTGATTCCCTTAATGAGCCTCAGGCTGTAGAAGCTCCACAGGGTGGGGTAGCTGGTTGTTATCAGTCTCTTAACAAGCCTCAGGCTGTAGAAACTCCTCTGGGCAGGGAAAGAGGCTTTCCAGCAGGGTGGGGCAATTGCTTCCTCCCTCAGGCAAAAGTAGAAAATTGGCCACCTGAGAAAGATGTCCCCCACAGTCTGGGGGAATAACTCCACACAGGAATCCAGTGGGGGTCCCCTGACCTCACTCTCCAGAGCCCACAACCCCAGACTCGCCCCACACAGCTCCAGTCCACTCCGTCCCCCCTCTGCCAGAGTCCAAAGTGAGTGGCTACACTGGAAACTTTGTGTGTTGGCTCTTTAAGAGGGGCCTGCAGTTCCAGCCGCCTCTCCCTGGTAGACAGAAACCTGGCTGCTTTTCACAGCCAGATGTTATGTGGGCCCCTTTCTCGGTGCTGGTGCTCTGGGCTGGGGAGCTCAGCCTGGGATTTAGACCTGAGAGTCCTCAATGGGACCCTCCATAGCTGAGATCTCCCTCTGGGCCTTCAGCTGCTACCTGTGGGAGCCCAGCCAGCCCTCTCATGTCCGCATTTCCTACCAGCCCCTGTGTGATCTCCACTTTTCCTCCTTGGTTTTGAGGGTGCTCTCCAGCTCGTCTTCAGTTGATTTTCAGGATGGTCTTTCTATGTTTTAGTTGTAAATCCATATTGGTCCGGGGAGAGTGTCAGTGTAGCTTCCACTCAGTCCCCTGCCATCTTGGATCTCAGTAACTTTTTTAAATGCAGAGTCCCTCCCCCCAGGGACTCACGACTCAGGGTGAGGAATTGGAGCCTTATAGGTCTTTTTAGAGATAATCTAGTCTCTTTTTTGGAAGAGTTTACAGCAGTTGAGTGGCTTCCCCAAGAGCATACAGTGCCTTGGCAATAGTGTCTGAAAATTGTTTAGGTTGAACCATCGTAAGTCAGGGACCATGATGATAACAGGGCCTTTTCTCCTTGATATGCCCTGTGCTAAGCACAGTACTTTCATT